TACTGTAGTCTAGCAGAGCATTCAGCAACTACACAGTTCAACGTTTCCCTCAGGAGTTGATGAAGACCGAAAAACAGAGCTAAAAAAAGATTAAACATCGAATGCTGATGTTTTCCAGTGTCTGCTGGATGTACTAATAAGCAATTGTTTGCAATATGTACTTGAAAAATGATGTCAGTGTTGTGCTTATGTACACAGAGGGGTGATATTTATAAGGAAAAAATAAAAATAATAAAAAAAAACTTTGATCCAGACAGTGGGGGATCTGGTGGCTCTGTTCTCCATGGTTTGGGTCCATTTGTCCCGCAGAGGAATAGGTTACATGATCATCTTTATCCTATGAAAAATGTTTTTATCCTGATGGGAGCAGTTCCTTCCAGGATGACACTGCTGTCATCCACTGATGAAAATGACATGAATCATATGTTAACGCCTTACCAGTCACAACATCTCGACTCAGTTGAACACCTATTCGAAATTTTAAACCATCACGTTGGATAGTTCTCTCCACCACCATCATCAAAACACCAAACGAGGGAATAATTCTTGGAAGAATGGTGTTCATGCCTCCAGCAGATTTCCAGAGACTTTAGGAATCAATGCCAAGAAGCAGTGAAGCTGTTCTGCTGGCACTTCATGTCGGTTTCCTCCCTAATTTGTCACCTGTCTTATGTTGTGCTGCACCAATGGGCCAGAATAATACACGTTCACAATGTCATGTATGTGTTTTTGTTTTGTTTGAGGGTATGCCTTTCTTGTCTTCAACAAAATAAAGAAAAAATGCACCCATTGAACACATCAATCAAATAGCACTTTGGGGAGAAAGATAAAATATGATGCTCCTGTGTGTTTTAAATGTACATGAGTGGTTGGACATAAAGTTACAGTAGATTAACAAAAAAAATGTGTAACTCGAAGCCCATGTAATGTTTCTTGGAGTTAGCTCAGATGGCGCTGCGATAAGAAAACGGCTAAAAGTGGAGCACAGTGTTAACTCAGGCAGAAAACTGCAGTCGTGTTTGTATCAGCTGATTTGCATCAGCTGGTTCATTCATGTGTTACAATCACTGTCTCATTCACAGGCCACTAGTAAAACGTAATGTGCAATCATATTCATGCAGGTGAACAGCACATCCAGTGTAACCCGACACCGCTCACTACTTCTCTGCTGATGTGTTCCTGCGATTTGATACCCGACCACCTTCTGAGCTTCTAAGACGTATTTTTTTGGTATAATCATGTTCATGTTTATTCAGGGGCTGCAAGGTGGCGCAGTTGGTTAGCACTGTTGCCTCGCAGCAAGAAGGTTGCCGGTTTGCGTCATGGTGGGGGCACCGGAATCTTTCTGCGTGGAGTTTGCATGTTCTCCCCGTGCAGCGTGGGTTCTCTACGGGTTCTCCAGCTTCCTCCCACACAGTCCAAAAACATGTTGAGGTTAATTGGTGGCTCTAAATTGTCCGTAGGTGTGAATGTGAGTCTTTGTTTCTGCTGAGCCTTTCCCACCTACTTCAACAGTAGAACCATTTATTGTTAATACTCATTTGGTAGACAAGTGTCTGACAAGAGTTGGGTTTTTTTTTCAAAACGTATACCATGGTGCACTTCTAAATAAAAATCTTGCCTACTGCAGCTTTAATGTCACAGCCGTATAATTGGTGATGTGTTGCAAATGTTTTAGGCGTCTTTGTGACCACAGTAACAAAAAAGTGTATTAAATTGGAGCCTTTCCTATATGCTGGCCTTTCATCTGCCTGTTCAGTGTCACATGGGAAGTTAATTAACTTTCACAGTTGTTGTTTTTTTTTTTGGAAGAGTTCTGGAGCCAAGTGACAGTTTCTGTGAATTCATATGTAGAAATAAAACAAGAAATGATGAGAAACAAGTTCTTCAATTGCATATTTTTAAACAGAAATGTATGATGAAAATTTGGAGAAATGGCCCCAAAAACAAATTATAATGATCACCACCATTACTCTGAGGTAAAATATTGTGTTGTGCTCTAAAGTGTTCCCCTTATTGCGGCATAAATCACACTGCAAGTTTCCCAATGTACTGGAGCATCCATAAGTATCAGAAGAGGCCATACAGAGGCTATTCATTTCTATTTTCAGAATGCCAATTATTGTGCACAGCAGCCGCTTTGGCTATTGAACCAGTTGAAGTCAAACTGTTGTAATACATTATTATCTATTTCAACCTGGTGCGGTGGGGAGATTCTCACAGCTGGATTTTCATCAAAAGAGATAGCCCGCTGAAAATGTAATTCACTGTTTTAGTATAAATCAATAAGCCTCTAGAATCTATTCCCCCATTCCACCTTTATGTTAATATAAAAGAAATGCTCAAACAGAACTTTAATTCACCACACGGACTTTCGAACTGTTTAATAGCCCCAATTTTATCCATAACTGCTCAATTGACACTTAAATTTCAAGCCCATCTTAATTTGGCTTCTCCTGACAATTTTAAGTTCTACTTCTCTTCGCAGCCAAGGCTACTGTGACCCATGTTAATGGAGATTTATAGGCTAGTGCCATTCTAACAGTGATCTTCTATTAAGAATTATATCCCATTTGATCATTATTACTCAGTTCTCCCTCCCACCCCCCCAAAAAAAGAGAAAAAGAAAAGTCGCCGCAATATGTAATGCGGCATATTTAAATCTCCTGGAAGCTGTGCAAAAGCAAGCAGATGCAAAACATGTTAAATACTGAACATGTGAAAGAGTTTAAAGTAAAAGCTAATTTTGTGTTAGAGCATTAGAGGACATTCAGATGGTTCTGATGGGGGATATAAATCCTGATGGACTCCCATCTGAGTGTATTCATTAATCATGCGTCTCATTGGCGAGGCTCTGATTTGCCACTGAGACAGATGAAGATGAACTCAGCAATATATTTCTCATCATAACACAACCCTCACATAAATATTAATAGCATATTTTCAGCTGGTGGGCATGAATCATTTTTCAGACAGGGAATTTTAAGAGCTATCCATGCGTGTCCAAGAACAGTACATAAGCAAGCAGTTGTGATAAACAACACCGCTTTAAGGCAACACTGAAGAGAAAGCTCGCACTGTACGGGAAATTTAAAATATCTTTATTTTACTGACTTCAGGCAAACGTCTATCAATATATTTTTATTTGACCTTACAGCTTGTCAACACAAATATTTTAATTGCTCAAGTGACTGTTATCACTGACGTTAGTTTAAGTGTGTAGCAGTTCAAGCAGCTGTCAGTTGACTGCATCAGTTACAAATTGTATTTGAGATCTTTTTTTTTTTTTTTAATATTCTGAAAATACTGTGGCTGCAAGAAAATAGATGTATCTAACTGAGAAGTTAATAGAAATATTCAACCTTTGCCACTTTAAAGCTGCTGCAGGCAATATTTTTGTATTAATGGTAGATTAACAATGGCTGTGTGTATGTAAAAGGAGTCACTTTTCGTGACAAGCCTTCAGAGAATTATCGCCCAATTCTGCAGTCTCCCCTCGGCTTCACTGGATGTTTCAGCCGCTTTCAGTTTATTATTTGGTTTTATGGTCGGTAACATTTCCTGCTGGTTTGGTTGACTCTCGTCGCTCTCACCAACCTCATTTCCAGATGCAGCAGGCAACTATTTTCAGCAAGAAAGCCCTAAACACCCCAGTGTACTCTACCTGCCCATGACCAAACAGCAGACTGACACAGTGAACATAATGGCGCTACAGAGCCAGATATTTGCCTCAGGAGATGGTAGAGACCAAAAACAGGGATAGAAGTACTTGCTACTTGTGCAAATAAGTACATTCTTGTCATGAAAACATCATGAGGTGTATATTATTATATATATATTATTATATGTATATTAATCCAACTGACTGAATGATTATTATTCTTGTATATAATATATGTTATATTGATTTTAAAAAAAAAAAAGAAAGAAAGGTGAGCTTTTACAGGATTGAATTTCCCTTCTGGGATGAATAAAGTATTTTTCATATTGTCAGTATTTGGCCCTGAATGGCAAATGCTTGGTCGCTAAATTACTGATTTATTTAAACTATTTCAGTTGCAAACGGTATTTGATGGGTTGAGTTGACATAATAAAGTTGGTAATTGCATCAACTTAATATGCAGGAGTTCAGGATTTCAAGTCCTCTCTTTTATCTTAAAATGCTTGTACACTTTCAGATGGTTAGGACTTGTAATTTAAAATATATATGATTGTCGTGGAAAAAAATCTAATTCCCCTGAATCGACGTAGTTTGTTGGCTGAACAGAATTTCATCATTTCAACTAAAAAAGACTGACTCAGACTGTTGCATTTATTTTTTGTTATCGAGCATTACTTTTTAAAGCATGTAAAGTATTTTAAACTATTACTTCAGTTTTCTTATCCTATCTTGTGTGAACTGGGATTTCATTTCACTTCATTATTCAGTCTGGCACTGTGGTCATGTCAACCTTTTTCTGTTTTAATGGATTATTTTGGACTTCATTAAGCGGCAAGTGACATCGAAAAACATATATTTATTCAAGGGTTGTTATTTCTGTAAGTTAACTTTTAACAACCAGTACAGATGTGTCAATCTCATCCACATTTGTCACCAGTTTTTGGCAATTATTCTGTTGCTATTTTTCATGCATTTAGTTATTTTTCTGGTTTTTGGCACAGCAAAATGATGCTCCAATTCATAATCCTGCGTGCTATGCTCTCATCAACCCAATTGTTTTTTTTCCATTCAGGGAAACTGCTGTCAATGAGAACAACACCAGACATGTTTGAATAATTGAAAAAATGTGAAACGCTGGCAGAGCAGAGTTGTTAAGTGGTTAAGCATTTTGACTGGCATTGTAGGTGGACTGAGAAATTCAGGAATTGGCTTAATATTTGTGTTTTCACTGATCCTAATTATTGTTTAGTGAATAACAATGATACAGTGAATGATAAATATGCCACTGTTCCATTCATGCATCCATCACTAAGGCATGTGGCTGTTTATGTCATTGCAGGTTTATGACCATCAGTACAAAGCCGTTCTGGATGGGGTAGAGACAGACAGCATGCTGGAGATTGACCCCGGTCACCACATTGAGATCTTCAGAATGGGAAACGGGAGCGAGGAGGTGCTTGAGGTGCACGACTTCAAAAATGTAAGTAAAGGTTGAACAAGGCCATGTAAGTGATTTGTCTTTTGAGGAAAAATTGACGCTGTAATTGAATCTTCTATTCAGCAGAGGAAGGATTGTGATGTTCACGTCCTGCCCTTTACAAAGAGACAATTGACAACATTTATTCTTTCTTGAAATCATATTTTCCTCCTCAACGGTCTTTTCTCCTTCTTTGTCACTTTTGGAGAGGAAAAAAAAAAAAGGTGTGACAAAGCTTTGAAACATCTCAAAAACAGAGTAATGGAAATTACATTTGCTGAGGTCGGTGGGATCAAAAATACAATTTTTCAAATTTTTAAAATACCATGCATGCACATGAAATCAGTAACTGATACTAAAGGGGCAGTACATGTGGAGATTTGTTATGTGGTCAAGCGCGCACACAGCAGCCCAATGAGAAGAATCAGTCTCACAAAATAAAAAATAAGTGTTTTCCCCCCCTCTAATTCTTTACAGCAACTTCTTTGCAGTACAGAGACAAACACCATTAAGAAGCCAGTCTCTATTTGTTCCTCGCACCTTTTTCGACTGCAATTTTGTCTGCAGCACAACTCATTAACGTACCTTTCATTCCTAAATCCTGCTCGAGTGCGCAGTAGGTTACACATGCCGCACCAAGGAGAAGGGAGTGTGCTGCTTGACTGGGTAATGAATGCTCGTACTTTCGCACCATTATTTACTGTGAAATGTTAGGTTGTGAGGCTGAATGTTACAGGATACGCCTCATCCCGAACAAAAAAAAGCTACATTGAGTTGTTATTGTTTTTGGTACAATGGCTTGTGTGAATCGAAAATGGCTATATGATGGAAACCAGCGCAGCACCGGAAGACTTTAAACCTCTGCAATCAGTCCGTTTCCTTCTCTCTCCCTCACAAAGCCCAGTGTGTGTCCCATATAGCCACACTTATAAACACATGCGCCTGTTGCTTGTTCCACTTCCTGTTAGTGAAGCACATCCCCTGAGGAGATTTGCTTGATTCAGTGCTCCGCCATGGAAGACTGAGTAACAAGCGAGTGAGCAGAGTAATTCAAACCTCATTGTGGCAAAAAAAAGGAAACTCAGACAAAACTTACAATGGGTTATACAAAGCCAAGGCTTGTGCGCTAATGCTGGAACCTACTTTGTTTAATGCCAAAAAAAAAACAGAAAAAGAAAAGGTGGAATGTCACATGTTATAATACAGACCAAAGCCACCTTTAAATCAATCTCCATCAAGCCCTAGGGCTGTGTGATGGAAATTGAGGGGATTATGCCTCCAGGACAGTGGACCACCAGACTCATTTTAGCAGGAGAGAGAACACAACATCCTGACAGAGAATTACCAGAGTCATTTTCATGTTAAAACAAATTGAACAACGGAACAAAACCACATTTCATTAAATTGTCCAAATTTCTGAACAAGGTTTCAGAGATACAGCACACATTAGTGGGTACATTTTAACTTCACACCAAAGGAAAGCTTTAATGAAATCAGAATGGATTCGAGCAGATGATATTAAGGTTGCGGTTTGGTTAAGTTTTAGTCATTGTTTGGAAAAATAACCTTCAGATTATAAGTAAATATACCCTCTGGTGCAGTATTCCGGTCGTCTGTCCTTTGTAGATGATTTGTCGTTTCTTTCCTCGGTCTGAAACGCAGTTTCATGAGACAATGTACAACTCGGGGTGCCGGAGTTGAAAAGTTTCCTTGACTACACAATGTGACAAAATGAAGGAAATGATCATGGCTTTATAGAACAAAGAGCTGGTGTCCACGCTGGCTGGCATTTACATGTGAATTTGATCTGGACAACTCTTTCAATTATTTTTTTTTTCTGACAATATACTGATAATTTCCAACTTCCCTTGTTATCCCTTTTTATTTTATTATGATTAGAACTGTGTGAACACTAGGTAATTCCCTCGAGCCATGCCTACAGCACCGCATACCTCCTGGCTTTTTTAGGGGTTCAACAATTCAGCATGAAAGCCATCAAGCGCCGGGGTCTGTGGGGACAGCAGGACAGCCCCGAGAGCTTGTGAACATATCCAGATTGTGCGACTGCAAGCCTGTTGTTACACTGAAAGATATTCATTTTATATTTGCAGATGCTTCTAATAGTCTGCCCTTCATATATGTCAACATCCATCCATTTATCCATTTATCCATCTGTTGTCTATTCCCATTTATCATAAGCGGGGCTGCAGCAGTCTGGAGCCAATTCTTGTAATCACCGGGCAAGAGGAAAGCTTCACAAGGCTAATACATATAATAGAGACCGTAAGGATAACACTATTACATTCAGAATTCCATCTTCTAGCAGTTTGAGAGTTACACTTAGCCTGACCGGTACATTTTTGGACTGAGAGAGGAAACCGTAGGAGCCAGAGTTTCTTGCTGTGAAGATAACCGCTGCACCAGTGTATGTAAAACAAGGTTGGGCAGTGTTTTCTTTCGTTTTCCACCTGGCTTTCTTGATCAGTCAACACAGACATAACCCTCAGACATAACTGCCGCCGGCCTCTCACTACAGGTATTGCAAGATTTGGCTCAGCTCGAGTCCATAATGCAGAAGCTGTCAGTCATCACTTTTAGCTTCTTGCCTTCAAACGGCATCGAGCCTTAAGTTCGAGGTAGCCAACATCCATAAATCACCACAGATGCTGGAAGAACGAGCTGGTGAATGCAGCCAATCTGTAATAAGTAATATTCATGTTAATGTTGTATTTTTAATAGGCCTTGCTTCTCAGTGGATTTCGTTCACTTTTCCTTCATATTTCACCTGATGTCTGTTATCTTGCTAGAAAACATATGAGCGATATAAACAGTCAACACCATAGCTGAGCATTTCCACCTTCAAAGTTCAATCAGTCTCAACAACATGGATTCAGACCTTTAGGATTTTAAACTAAGGAACCAGTCTTGCTAACCTGCAGCTTTCTGATTTAGTTTCCGATTCAAATGGCTGAATTACTTTTATTATTATAATTTGCTCATGTTTCAGCGGAGTGGTAGGTGATCTGGTGTCCTCGAGCTGCAGCAAGTAGTGGAAGGGTCGGTAAAGACAGAGGCAGAATCTCATGGATCAGCACAATCTAGAGGAAGCAACAATGTAGAAGTGTGTTCTCGTGGAAAGACCTTCTATGGAAATAACTTTGATGCACTGAAAACATCTCTTTAAGGGTTAAATCAAGAGTAAGAGGGTTTTTAAATCTACTGAAATCTGATGTGCACCAGCAACAACGTGTGCACATTTTGCACAAAATCAATATTCATTGCGGCCTATGCAATGGAGGTGATGTGCTCCCCTACATTGACAATCACTGCTGCACCACTGGACAAGTTACTGTTAAAGACTGAACCACAAAAAGAGTCAGGTGAGACAAGCAACATGCTGGAGCAAGAAATGCTGGCAAGCTGAATTATTAAAAAGTCAAATTGGACAACAGATGTTTACATGATTAAATGAACAAAGAATATGATTTTTTTTTTTTTTCAAAGGGCAAAATAAAACTGCTAAAACTGAAGCAGTTGGCCAGCTACATTAACAGTTCATCCAACTGTCGAAACAAATCAGCTAATCTAGTCAGTAAATCGTAGGAATGTTGTTCCTTGATGTCACTAAAACCTTTTCCTGCCTCTGTGGTTTATATTTTTTGTGTTACATGCAGTCAGCGCCGTCTCCCTCTCAGTTACCCTTTAGCCACGAGGGTGTGCTGGTCAAAGGGGAATTTGTAAAAAAGCAACAACCTTTCTTTCTTCTGCTGTACGCTCTTCTGCCTCCTCTTCTCAGAGCAAATAAAGCGGAAGCATCAAAATTCGCCTGCAGCATTCATCCATCCAAAATTTCTTTGGACCATTTTTGAAATTCATGACTGCTGGAAAAGTACTGATGATGCTGAGAATGGCCTACAGTAACATCCTGTTTGGATTTTGTGATCGACTGTAATGACCAGATAGACCAGAGAAGGACTATCAGTAACAGCAAAAGACAATCTGGAAAAATGTAAACAATTTTTTCATACGAGACTAGCACAGGTACACCCAACAGCAGATCTGATCTCACATTCTCCGTACTTAACGTAATAAAATGACATAAATGAGGGTAAATATTTTGGTGTACAAAAATAAAAGGTTGAGATAGTGAGATAATTACATCATGAGGAAGACATGCCCCTAAATACAGACAATAAGCAATTATGTAGGTAACATCAAGGCATCGAATAACTGTTAAAACGACTTTAGCTCTGAATGAGCTGATTGATGCACACAGTTACATGTTCTCTATTCTGTGGAAAAGACTCAGATGAGCATCTTGCACATGGATACACCAAGTGGATATTTCAACATGGCCTGTTACAGTGACATCGGTTTTCCATTTCTCATCCCTGTGTTAATGTGTCTTTCTTCATTTTCTGGTTGACCAAGCCCAGTAATCATTGTATCTCATCACAACGTTAGCCTCTTCTCTTCTGCTGCAGCTCACCAACACACTACACTCAAATTAAACAGAGACCCATCACAATAAAGCCCGGCATAAACATTACGCTTTTGTGCTTGAGACTATTAATGCCCCATCCTTTCTCCACACAGATGAAATTATATGCGGTAGATTATGACAGCCATCACTTTGTATCACGTCTTGTGCAGCTGGTATCTGGTTCTCAGAGTGACAGCACCACAGAAAACGTAGAAATAGCACCCACATGGTCAAGTTAACCAATTCAAAGGAGATGTCATAGCAATCACCGTGTTACTGTAATTAAATTTAGATTGAATCAAGTCCATTTTCATGGTACCGCTCATACAATTTTCATTTGATACAATTTTAAAGCGGCCGTGGCAGATGTAGATCCTGCTGTCTGTTCTAATACAGTATGCTGAATGAGCAGCTCTGCTCTGCAGAAAATAAATTGGATACAATCTGATCTAGCGAAAGTCTTTCAGACTTATTCCGGCTGAATATCTTAGATTAACATAGAATAGCAGCGAGAGAGAATTAACAGATCTTTCTTGCCTATTGAGGCCCTGTGTGTCAGCCTGAATAGAGCCACAGTCCACATGGTGGAGGATCATCAGTGGAGCTGAAGAGAGTGACTCCACACTTGACTGCGCAGATTAAGAGAGTGACAGGGACCTATGACTGGCTAATTCAATGGGGGCACTCTCTGTAGAAAACACTTCATTCTCAACAATGTCACTTGGCTCTCCTGTGCGATATATCCTGCTATGAAGTATTATACAGCCACGGTGGAACACCCCCACCTTTTTACTTCATTCAGCCTGACAGCAAGAGCTGTGTTGTAAAGGCCGAGCAGTCATCAATTTTATTCATGATAAAAGAAAGAAAAAAAAAAGATCAAAACACACCTCTACTCATTCATTAGGTTTTAACTTTTTTAACAGCTTTGATTATTAGCAAAAAGCTGGGCGTTTTGAAACAATCACCCCGGTTCCTATGGGATATCCACATCAGAGAAAGCTAATGAATGATACATACATCTGAATTCCTGAGTAACCTTTCATTTCTCTCTGTTTTTCAAAGGGAATCACTGGGATCCGGTTTGCCGAACATCAGAGGTGCTACATCAGGACCCAAACTAAGAAACTACCCACAGTGGCAGAGGTGGAGGCTGAGGACACAGAGCTGCTGGTATGCCTCCTCTCTCTGCTGTCTGTACGTCGGACTCTCTGTAGTCCTGCAGAGGCTGTCATGCATATTGTAGCGAGATAACCAGAGTGGAGCACTGCGAGCGCCACACAAATCCTCAGCCTGTCCATCTTATCCTATCTCCCCCACCCCTCTCACTGAAGAATAAACTGGGGTTTGTGGTGCGTGTGAAACCGCCAGAAAGCTACCCACAAACCCATAGCCTCTTTGTGGCTCACATCAAATGGTGTTAGCTGTCAATCTTGAGTCAATATTAATTTATAATCATCTCCTCCAAAGGCTCTACCAAAACAGCCTAAAGGGGGAAGGGTACAGAAGAGGTCTGAGTGAGAGGTAAACCATTAAATAGTACTTTTTTTTCTTTTTTTTTTTCTAAAATTCACAAGTCTCCCTCTCCAAGTTTAGAGTGATTCATTTCACTTCTTTGGATTCTTATAGTTGGATGTGAACTTCAGCAAAAGGGATGGAAGAAATTCAGTCAATCAAAATTCCCATTTTTTCAGTGTCACAGTGCAATTCACTGAGTGGGCCGCATGTTCAAAGAGAAAATCCTTCTCTCAAATGTCTCTACTGCTAGCATGCTCTCATTTACATTTCACATTGTAGCTGAGAAGAAGTAGCTGGCAAATATCTGACACTCCCCGCTCACTGCTTCATTTTAAAATAGAATAAGCCAATTGTCAGCCCAATCTCAGTTTCAACTTTAAGAACACAAGCTGTTACACCCCCCAAAAAAACCAAACGCTGTTTTGTTTTTTATTCTTCTCATCTTGATAATGTCTGATCCACGTTTACAGATACTAATTGCCCAGGCAGCACCATATGTCCATGCCATCTCTGTCTTCTTTTGTGCACTGTGAAGCCTAATTGCCTTAATTCACAGCTCCAAAGTGAATCATCGAAGGCCAGCAAAGTGAGGGCTTATACCAGCAGTTGATGAGGCCCTCACAGTAAATAAAACGATAATTCAGAAGGTGTTCGCAAGCTGTGGTTTACATTAAGCCGTTCTAATCAATCACAGTGAATAGCCAAACACTATTACAACCTTACCTTGAGAGATGATACATATGAATGCTTACTAAGGAGCCTTGAATCAACTGTCAGGCTAATAGGTAGGCATAATTAGAGACTGAAACCTGCAACCCCATCCCCTGCATATACTATGCTTATATAGTACCATTACTTGCCAACTAATTCATTATGCCAAGTGTGTTTAGGTGATGTGGGCAGTGACGTGCGGTGAGGTTCATGGCTGGTGAGGCACTGACTTCATCAGAATCAGATTTATAATGTTATATTGTGGTCTTTCCTTTAAATGAAGTCCATGCTCCTTCTGGACAATATATCCATCCATCCATTATCTATACACCGCTTAATCCTCACTAGGGTCGTGGGGGGCTGGAGTCTATCCCAGCCGACTTAGGGTGAAGGCAGGGGACACCCTGGACAGGTCACCAGTCTATCACAGGGCTACACTTAGAGACAGACAACCAAGCACACTCACATTCACACCTACGGACAATTTAGAATCACCAATTAACCTCAACATGTTTTTGGACTGTGTGGGAGGAAGCTGGAGAACCCGGAGAGAACCCACGCTGCACGGGGAGAACATGCAAACTCCACGCAGAAAGATTCCGGTGTCCCCACCAACTGCGCCACCCTGCAGCCCTGGACAAAATATTTGTTACTTTTTTGTAAAAGTCTTCCCTCGCTGCATTTGACTTGCTAATTGTAGATTGTACCTAGTCTAGCTTGCCGTCACTTACTCTGCAGCCACGGAGTCACAAGAAGAACGTCTGGGATCAGAGCGCCTCCTGCCATGAGGCAAGAGAACTGCCTGCCTCACCTAGAACCTCTTCTCAGCTGCCTTATGATCACTCAGCACATGAAACACGTTACACACATACAGTTGGTAACAAAAAACACTGTACATTATTATATACATCAGCTGAACTGTGGAAAATCAGTTCATATATTAAATGTGTTTGAACCATTTTATTGGTGACATACAGACAGCAGTACGCTGTCACTGCATGGCAGTCAGCGCAGGTAGCGAGGGGTTGTGCGATCCAAGGTGAGGCTCAGCTCGCTGCTGCCTCACCAGCTTCTCTTCCAAGCATCGAATGGGAAATTGCAAAAAAAAAATGAGCGATTTTGAATTTAAAAAATCATCAAAATTGGTGAGGCTAAATAAATAAGTAAAAACTTTATAGTAGAAATCACTGGATAAATATAACCATTTAAATTATTGTATCATTATATATTTTTTTACTTTCCGTGACCTCCCCTGACCACACGTCACTGGATGTGGGGGTTGCCTGGATTGACTTCACAGATCACACTTATTTGAATGTGTCCAACTTTTTTGCACAGCAGGTGCAGCAGGCATTAGGAAAATGTTTACTGAGGTGACAGATCGATGGAGAAATAAGGTCATTTTCTCTCAGACTTTTATAAAAATGGACCTCTTTTGGCAACCAGATGTGTCGCCCCCTGCTGGTCTGCAGGTTAAAGCATTTTTATGTTGGCTTTGCTTTTTCGCTACGTCCATCTTTTACATATTTCTATAGAAATGATTAGCATGGCTCAGCCTAAACATACACAAATACAGTATTTTTTTTCTTTTTTAAGTTTCAAAAGTGAGTATATTTCTGCAAATATTTTATTTTATCTTTTCATGAGGCAACACTGAAGAAATGACACAATGTACAGTAGTCAGTGTACAGCTTGTATAACAGTGTACATTTCCTGCCCCCTCAAAATAACTCAATACACAGCCATTAATGTCTAAACCACTGGCAACAAAAATGAGTACACTCCTAAGGAAAAACATCCAAAATGGGCCCAATTTGCCATCTTCCTTCCCAGGTGTCATGTGACTCGTTAGTGTTACAAGGTCTCAGGTGTGAATGGGAAGCAGGTGTGTTAAATTTGGTGTTATCGCTCTCACACTTTCTCATACTGGTGAGAGTTTAGATTTAAAAGTTTAGATTTAATCAGTTTAATGATCACATTTTTAAGAAGGGACCTGCCTGAACATGTATCTGTCACGGCGCTAGCTTGCTGGTGTTTTTATCGGTTGCCTGACTACTTCAAAGCAAAATTAAGACACTCCAGGAAGTCACAATGCAAAACGTGTTTTTCGCTTACATTTGTAATCGTGTGTGTGTAAACTTATAAATGAAGATGATCAAGGCATTCCTGATGCGTACTGGAATCGCTATGCTAATACTTCCACATCGCTCTGCCCCCTGCAATGAACTTATAGCTGTGCACAGGGCCATTATCTGTTGACAGACATGACTTTAGAACTAATCTTCTCATCTAATTCTCAGCAAGAAACAAAATAATTAGTCTATTCACATATCAATATATTCATCAATCAGTAGAACATTATTCTCCCGTCATTAGGAAGGTAGGTATTTTAGTCATTGCTCTTTCTTCCACTAGAGTTACACCGCTGTATACTTTGCAAATGTTGCTAAACAGGTTGATTTCACCACAAAAACACTGGATTACATAACAAAAATACAGTAAATATCAGTGGGGCATTTTTGGGTAATAAACACTGACCTTGGCTTGACCTCCCCAAAATGTGTCCTCACATTAGACAGCGGCCTCTGATCCTCTGTGAGAATCCGCCCACGTGTGACCCTGGAAAAGATCAGCACAAGTTCCTCCTCAGGTGGTGAAACACATGAAGCTCACAGGGGTTAAAGCCAAGCACTAATGGTTCCTAGCTTAACCCCGCCACAGGCTTTCAGGGAAAAGGGCTCAGAGCAACCGTGGCAGGCTTTAGAGCTGAGGTGAAAAACAAAGGAAAAAACTGTGGAAAAACTGCACGCGGCTGATAAGGAAATGCAGCCCCAGCGAGAGAGAACCAGGTGACAAACACGAATTGTTTGCCAGGATTTTTTCTTCCCTTTTCAATTTGCCTTCTCTATGAAATGTCTGAGGGAGTAATCCCTGAGCTTCATTCCAGTTCCCCCAGTCTGACACGGAAATCGCCATCCACCTCCCTCACACCCCTTAACATTGTCAATGGATGCTGTTTGCTCCATTAAACAGCCACTTAATATGGATGACCAAAGCTCACCCAGCAACCCAAAACCTCCCACTCAGACAACAACTGCAAACAGAAAAACAGTGTGCTGAGAAACAACATCACTGCAGCGGATGTGAATACCAAAGTCCTGCAAGCCCACAGTGCGGACTGTTTTTGTCTCACATTCATCTGCAAGAGTTCGATGAACGGCAGCATGAACAAAAAGTTCTACATTGAGCTATTCAATCATCCAACAAGAGAGAGCAAAATTCACCAATATGTCTTTGCAAAATATGGACTTTTAGAAATCTGAATTGCTAGCTGGAGCTATTTATTTACTGGTAAACATTGAGATAGCACAGAGCTGGAAATATTCTTATGTTAGTCTGACACAACAGCTGTCTGAAATTCTCTTAATTCAATAAAGAGTTTTTGAGGTACGACTCATCTCTCAAGCTCACTTGCTTTGTTTGGTTGCTAACAAGACACTGCTCTTTTCTTATAACTTTCTAAAAACTGTTCCACTTTTAGGGAAGAGTTTATTCTCTGACAGAGGAGGGTCAGATAAAATTGAATGGAGCAACACAGCTAATGAGTTAAGACAGCAACTCTTTGGGTTGTCTGTTCCCTCGAAGCTCAAGACAGTTTTCTGTTTGTCAATGGCACAAATTTGGATGTCAAAACTCAGCCAAGTCGAACAAAGCTGAAACATTTGCACAGATTTAGTTTGCCCCGACCGGTAAATCCAATCAATCATCAAGAGATGAGTTTTATTTTTGCTATGAAATGTCATTGTTTTAAATGCTGCTGTGACAGGGCGTTCAGAGCGTTCAAGCAGGTATCAGCACGCTCGCTGTGAGCTTCTAGAATATGGTTGTCGACGAAAATTCACCACCTGGTACATTGCATTAAAACACCCTGCTTGTGTTAGGTGCAGCATGTGAAAACTCCTGGGTATGGTGAGAAAATCTTTGTTGATCTCTGGCAAACATAACGCCACTTTAAACAATGTGTCATGTCGACAGTGTTCCCCCCCCTTGGGACACTGTGGCAGGAGAGGGTAAATTCATTAACTACAGCACAACTGGTGTATAATTAAGTTGTGCACTGTAGGCGAAAAGCATACATACACCAGCAACGGGCTGCACAAAACAAATTACCATCATTCCCAAGGTCCAATACTTGATAAAAAGTTGCTTGTGTCCTAATAATATATCATTTGTCAATAGCAAAATGGAAAAGCCTTTCAAAAGTGTGTATAAACTGGCGGACTGTAATCATGTTGTCTTTGTGCTTGTCAACTGGCATTTAGAAATCCCTGCCCCATGTTAAAATGCTGACCTTTACCACTTCCCCCCAGGCGCTCTCTCCTACAAGTTATTGGAGTCGTTTCTCAACTGTGAAGTCGAAGTCATGTTGTGAGCCCCGTGTCGTGACCTCCATTTACTTTCCAGAGAAGACTCACTTGGCTTCAGTGGTTAAGAGGTCCAATTAGAGAGTACTGTTTGTGTTCCTTGAGTTTGATTTTAATTTCTGCAGCCACTGGAAACGGTGAGCGCACCAGCTCAATGCCAGAGCACCCCCTCTGCCATACCAGCAACAGCACCACCACCACCACCACCCCGCTACACCAGTCCTCCGAGTCATCATTAGTCTGCTGGCCGGCGCTTAAAAGTGAAGGAAAGTGTGTCAAAAGCTTGGCTGAACACCTCCCGCGCCCAAATACGATCTTTGATGTGACACAATGTGCCGAAGTTATTGGGTTTTTTTCTATCTCTTTCTTGTTCTTCTCTGCAGGTCACAGTAGTGACGCTCCATGACAAACAAGAAGCAGTGTGGAAAGCAAAATTCTAATTCAAGCGAGAGTGACAGGGGCGAACGTGAGGGAGGGGGCACGACCCAATATAAATGATTCTCGCTCCTACTATAGCCCCAGGATTCTACATCAAGCTTAACTAATGTGCAATTAAGCTTTAGACTGGAAGAAAATCACCTTGTAAAAACATTTGTCAAGTGAACTGTTTTTCTGTTCTGGGTTGCTAATTAACAAGGGAATGGGAAGAGGGGTTTGTTTGTGTGTGTATTTACATATACATGAAGAAAATAAATATCCACACTGTTAGGGGAGAGCATTACCAAATCCCCTTCATATGTCTCTATTAGACAACACTGACATGTAGTCCCTATCATTAAGCAATAATAGTTTACTTTACAGCTCATGAACTACAGTATCAACAAATTAAGCTCACTGATAGTGCTGGGTGCCAAGCGAAGCATTGTGGTGGAGGGGAGGGGAGG